AACACCTAGAGATTCCAGAACATCATGCCCCCGCCCAGTCTACCCCCTAAACCGCACCAGTACCCAGTGGTTCCCTGCTTCGATACATAGCTAGCCGCTAGGATCTGAACCGCACATCACCTAAACTGCGGCCCTCGCTTGTGAGTACCCAGTGGTTGGCGCAACACCCTGAAGAGCTTCAGGGTTCCCCCACTCCACGAAGTACTTCAAACATCGACGAGGCACAAACAAGCTTGGATCTTCAGCATCCACGACAGAGGCACAAATCGTTTGGGGTGCTGGGGTCTTAGTCAGGGCTTGTCCTGCGTGTGTAGGACTCGTCCAGGGCCCCGCAGTGGCAACAGCTACGCCATCCCCGTCAGAGCAAAAAACACGACAGCAGTCGGCCGGTGGCGTACACAGGTGCGTCTAGGCTTTGTGTCGATTCCTGAGCATAATAAGCTGTGCGTACATGTTCATAGAACCCTAAACCCTAAATCCAGAAACCCTCAATCCGAAACTCTAAACCCGAAACCCTAAATCCGAAACCTGCAATGCCTTAAAGCGGAAATCCGAAACCCGGAGGCCGCAGTCTCCGGAGTTTTTGCTGCGCCTGGCCGGCACATCGAGGCCGCCTCTGGAAGGCAGGAATTGAGAGTTTCGGGCTTACGGTTTTAGCCCTCAGAATTGAGTCTAACATGCCTTCGTACGGCTGTACCATGAGGTCGTATATTCTGGTGTTTGTAGATGCTCTGCTTTTGCGTTTCTAGACAGCGATATATACACCTACTCCTACTACTCCTACTACTACTACTACTACTACTACTACTACTACTACTACTACTACTACTACTACTACTACTACTACTACTACTACTACTACTGTTGCTACTACTATACTGCTGCTACTACCAGTGTTGGTTCTAGTACTGCCACGATTAATTACAACCACAATGCATCGGGTATTCTTATCTAAACCCTAAACCTACAACTCCCAAACCCCTAAGCCTTTAGCTCAGACTTGCCGGTCGGAATCTAAACCACGCCTCGAGATGTGAAGAAGCGCGGCGAAGCTGAAGCCGAACACAGACCAGGTGATGGGGGCCTCACTCTGTAGGGTTTAGGGTTTTGTAGGGTTTAGGGGTTTCGTGTTTATAGGGTTTAGGGTTTACAGGGTTTGTAGGGCCTATAGTGTTTATAGGGTTTCAGGTTCTTATAGGGGTTATAGGGTTGATAGGGTTTAATCTACAGCACTCGAACATATGGCCCAGACACACTCCGAAAGCTTTATCTCGTGGGAAGTCCTGCTGGATCCAGCTTCCATTGCTTACTCTGTAGTCGGACGGTTGATCTGATTAAGCCATGGCATCTTTCAGTGCCTTACCTGGAATCTCCCGAAAACTGAACAGCTACTGCACCAAGATGCCGCAAAGATGAGACCAGAAGGCCTGTGCTTGACTCTACAGACACAAGCCTCAAGCCGGCATCTGAAAACTAACCCCGCAGAACTCTATTCACACCCCAACCCGATTCTGCATGCGATACTGCTGATGATATAAATCCTGCATTACCTTAGGACCCTAGACGATGAGAATTATGGTGTATTCCTTATTGCGGGTCATGCAGGATTTAAATCATCAACCGTAGTTCGTTGGGCGACCGACTTTGTCTCCTCCAAGATTGGCCAGAAGCCCTGCGCCTGCGGTGTGAGGGCTTAGGAACTTGAGGAGAGGTGGAATGGTGGAATCGTGATTCTGGTTTTCTACCTGCTGATCTACCTGTCTGCCTCGTTACCTATGTCGTAGATGACTGCTTGACATTCTCTCCATCTATGAATAAATACACATGTGCGCACAGTCTGTGAGTTATCTGCGCGCACAATCTGTGAGTTGGTAGAAGACGTCTATGTGCGCATTTGTTCCTTCTCTCTATCTCTCTCTGCGCCTCTCTCTCCATCCATCATGTGTGTGTGCATATATGTGCATATTGATGTATGCATATATGTAAACACACATACAGTACAAATGTATCAGATGTATAGACACGTATGTGGGTGTAAGCCATCGTACAGTTTCACACAGAGACGTGTAGGAAACCGCATATGCAAATTAGTCGGATAGGTATAAACACAAATGTGGCAATGCTGTGCAGCATAGACATCGAGATGACTTCTGCCGTGAACGCTTCCGCGATCAATATGCCTTTGCACGATGTGGAGGTTGCTCTAGACTAGTCCCTGCCGGGAAAAACTGTGCTCCTGCTGTAGCCCCAAATACCGATGTGCTTGCTCCCAAGCATAACAGAATCACCTCGCAACTGTTGTAGTGATTTAGGAAATCGCATTATAGCGCACCTCATATTCAGACAGGCCATAGAGTTTGTCTCACGCTTTGGGAGTCAGCTATCCTGGGCAAGAGGTGCGCGTTGTAGGACTTCATCAGATACCACTGCAGAAACAAGGTACAGGGCTTAGAGTATTTGGTCTGGGATATTGGGAGTCGAGTACAAACCTGGAGTTAGAGCCCATGCTTCTACGCAAATTTAAAGCAGTCCCGTCCATGATCATATACCGCATGCACCTTGGCTCTTTGACTTAGACTTTGCGCAGTACAGCCGCCCACCGTCATTTGTTTTCACCCTCGCTCCGCAGTTGCAAGAGGTGCGGAGAACGCAAGCGCAATCAAGAAGGGAGAAACAAGACATGCGCCAGCCCGAATGTAATGAGGAAACCTCAGAATTCATGCTTGTAACTATCGGCCCTAGCCAGGCTCACTAAGGGACTTTCGCCAGCGAAAATCAAACGTGACAAAATCGACCTTGTTTTAGGCTCAGCTGGTGTCTCGTTACAAGATATCTTGAAGACTGTTTTCATCATTCTTAAGAGCCCTCCTCCTCATGTTTCTCACGCTCCTCATGATCATCAGGCTCTGCGCAAAAGCATCGTCAACACCACCACAACCATCACCTCTCACATCTTTAAACCGTTCAAAATTTTCTCATAAAGATTCAAAAGCCTGTCCCCCCAAACCCTTAACCCCTAAACCCTCAACCCTAGAGGACCCGTGGCATGCTTCTCCTGCTCTATCTCAAACTGAGTTCGCTCAGCTCCGTCTTTTGAAGACGCAGGCTTCTCCTTTGGAGATCGCCTCTGAAGTCTGTTGAAAACTGGAACTACTTGGAGGTTCATGGGTAGTCATAAGTAGGGTTATAAGTAGGATAGCTATAGAGATAAGCCATATTCGGGGACTTATGACTACCCATGAACCTCCAAGGATGGCTCTCAAACCACAGGCCGAGAAGCCATGACCTACGAGGGAACCGGTGGGTCATTTTGCAAAATGAAGTCGGAGCCCATCATCTGCCAAGCGGTTCGGAATCTTTAGCGTGTAGGGTTTTGGGGCTTGAAATCAACACAACTCAGGTCTTGATCATTTCTGGATGTTCCTAGACCCCCCAGGTACCCGCTAACATCGCCCAAATACCCACTATTAAGGACCATAAGGGCTTCTATTAAAGGGCCCTTTGGGGGTCCTGGTTAGCTGTGGGTTCGCATGCTTGGCCCAATCGACTTGTTCATGAGACTGCTGCCCAGAGACTCCAATACCCCTTAATTAGGGAATATTTCTTAAATCATATTAAGGATCCTACTATAATTTAAGGTATATTCCTTAATTAAGGGATATTGGAGTCTCTGGGTGGAGCAGAAGCCCACTGAAGAGAGCTGGCCGTCCTGCCTCGGGGACTGTTTAGCAGAAAACTACAGCGATCTAATATAGGGGCCGTAATTATTACCAATACTATTTTGGGGGTGACTTATTATATTTGGAGTAGAATGGCCCCCAAACCGTATTCTAGCTATTAAGGCCCCCATATTATACTACGGAGGATGGCAACTTCAAGACCTCTTGCGACATCCATTAGCCAAAGATCAGTTGCTGGATCGCGGGAGTATCTTTCGGCAGAAGCGACGAGTGTGCAATAGTACACATCTCACGAGGCAGGCTCGTGCCAGGGAGTGGCATTGCATCTTCCAATCGTGAACTACATCGGCCAGAAGAACTTTCAGCTACGCATGGAAAAGCAGAATTCGAGACGACTCGATCGAGAATGCTGGACGAGCTCGTGAAAGTCACAAGGGCTCCTTAAGGCCTACAGGGCTGGGAGAACGAAGCCAACGCAGGAGGTTTGCAAACCAGCACTGTGATACGGTGATGCATGCTGTCGGGACGACAGAAAGAAACGACGACAATGACCACCCCTTCGGAGCCTACTCTTACAGGCAGGAGCAGGCTTACTGCTGCGCTCTGCGTCCTGCAGCCCAGAACTTTGACCGCAATTCAATCTCTTGCTGGCATTCAGCCATGTGGTGTAGCATCAGTATAGAAGCTTGGCGCTGTGGATGAAGCGCCAAGTTTAAGGAGTGGTGTTGGGGGCTCTGATGTGATCAATGTTTACACGCTTCAAAGATTACACAATTTCGTTGTCTCGATCATGAGTCTTCCCAGAACAATTTCGCCAGGTGGCGGTCGCAGTGAATCACACTACGATGAAACATGGTGTCTTACAACGAGTCATTGACACCATAGGCGCATCGGGCATGGATGAGAGCGCTGCGACACTATATTCACTAAATTCCGATAAATCAATCCATGGACAATTCGAAAACCCAAGCAATTCAGGGCACCGTGCCCGAAACATCTCTGGTTCTCTCTCACAGTGCCTGCGGAGGAACGGTTGATATATTACAGCCCTACTACAGTGTAGTTCAACATCGCATCTTCGGCTACACAAGCTTCGTGGAGTTGTCCAGGCAACCTACCTCCTTAAGCTCGATCTCCGTGCTTTATTTATGAACCCTACCATGTGCGACACAGCCAATCTATATAAGCTACCTCCATAAATCCCCCGCCTACCTACGTGCGCCTGACCCAGAACTAGCAGTGCGCACCTTTTAGTTCTCATCTTTCAATGAGCGGTCGAAGAGCCATAACCCGATCTGAATTTCCCGCAGACTCCATACCCTACACATCGTCGTCGCCGTTGTGCGACGATGGCGAAGACTGGCGCCGGAAACGAAACAGCGTGCGTGCCAAACGAGGAACGCAGAGAAGCGTCCGCCGAACCTGCCCTGGGCTGCAGATAGGGGCCTTAATAACTAGAGCAGGGTTTTGCGGTATGTTATACTTTTCGTAAAGGAAGGATTGCCTTCATAGGGTTTAACCCCATCAGCTACACCCTGAAACCCTAAATCGTTAGACCCTGTAACCTCCGACAAGAAGACGTAAAACCTTACCCCCTGGACCCCTAACCCCTCAACCCTGATTGAAGCCCTAAACCCTTGAACCCCTCCATCGCCTCCCTGAAGCCCTAAACACCTAGTAGCTGATGCCACAGCATAACCCTGAGACCGAGGCTCGGGGGCATTCCATAAGAAGAGTCTGAAGCATCCTCAACACCCGAACCTGCAAACCCCACACAAATCGAAATCTACTTCTATCCTAGGCTCTTTTGTCGAAAACCTCTTCGTAAATGGCTTAGGCTTTTTGTTCTTGGATTAGTTCGTAGAAGGTTTAAAGGCTGAATATGATATTTAAAACAACATCCTGAACTGGCGTGTGCTGGAGTACCTCCGGACCTATGCGCTCAGCCCTGAGAACAAAAACGCAAAGGTCAGCGATCCCGATCCTTAAAGGATCTTAAAGCCTTGTTCAAGGGTCACCGGAACTCCTACCAGTACATCTAAATTGTAAGGCCCTTCCCCAGTCAAGTTCTCTAAATGTGAGCTATCTAAACCCTAAACCTAGATTCCCTAAACCCTAAACTTACCCTAAATTTGGGGGCAACTGCACTTATTGTGGGGGGTGGGTTTAGCGCGAAAGTTTCTCCACAATCAGGGCCTCCTGCTTTAATGACCCGCCAATGTGTGCCATAATGCGGGCCGTCTGTTCCGAACCCTGAGCCTCTGAATAAGTACATGCTGACGTGCGGAAACGAAAAAGCAGCAGCAGAAAACATCTAACCCCACATTGCTGCAGAAAGCGATATGTGGTCTCCTAATTTGTTGTGTCCTTTTGTCGCCTTACACATAACAGGTAACCCCATACTCTATACAACAACCCTTGACTCAGTAACTCCGAGTACTTGGTCGAGTCTTGGCCAAGGCACGCAAAGGGAGCTGTGCAGCTGCTGCCTCCCCCTCGGGTTTAGGGTTTAGGGGTTGGGGTTTGAAGGCTCGTTCTGGGTGGTATAAACCAAGGCCCAGCCTCGAATGGCCTAGAGCAGATTCGAAGACCCAACACGACCCTGGAATGCATATGTATATATATATATATATATATATGCTGGGGGAGGGGGGGGTTACCATATATATATATATATATATATACATATGTATATGTATATGTATATGTATATGTATATGTATATGTATATGTATATGTATATATATATGTGTATATATAAATATATATATGTATATATATATATATATATGCTTGATTCGGAACCTGGACAGAGCAGGTGAACATCAGCCCACAAAAGAGTCGCTGCAACAGAACATCTTTGATCCTTGTTGAAGTTTCCTGAATCTAGGGACTGTCAAGTTGTCGAATACCACGAAGAGCCTCTTGCTTATAGTTTGCATAGCCGATATAGTCTAAGAGGTTCATGGTGCAGATTACGCTCTTGGGATTGGGGTGAGGGCCGGAGAAAAGCCATCGAATCAGCTTCAGGCGCTGGGGGATGAGTAGGAGCCAGTAGGGTCAAGACAAAAAAGGACCCTCCGCTTCAGACAAGGCTTAACGCTGACAGCTGAGGGCTCGGGTTTCGGGTTCAGAATTTTGGATTGAGAAGACAGCAATCATAATAAATGATAGTACTAGTGATGGTATTTATGTTTTTGATTGGCTCAGCATGTCTCAATTTAAGTACCTCCAACTCTTTGCCCGGCACCTTCCAGGCCAGGAAGACGGCGCGAATGTCCACCGAATCATTCCCAGCAGTCATTAAGCTGGAAAGACCTCAAAAGCCCCCTACCCTCAAGGCGTTGGGGCTTTAAGGCTCAGGGTTTAGGACGGTTTAGACTGTGGAACCGCTTAGATGGTAGAAAGTTGAGGATTTATGGGCTTTAGAGTTCACGCTTTTCGGATCAGGGTTTGGGGCTGAGGGTGCGTGATTCATACGATTTAGTGTTTTTGATGTTTGGTGTATAGGGCCCAGAGGGCAACAGAAAGAGCTTCCAACAGAAAGAGCTTCCAACAAACACTCCCTGGTGCTTAGTAGGGAATGGTGGAATGGATTTTGGGGACTCTTATTGGGGATTTTCGGGGCTACTATATCATGAAAGTGCTTGGTGACCCAGGCACTACTCCCCCCCCCAAATGACTGGAGCCCAACCAACGACTATTTAGTCGTGGAATAGCACTTAGTAGTGCTTATTTCCGGTTTCGGCGGGCTTTGGTCCAAATTCAGCTGAATTCGGGTTTTGGCTTAATCTAGGCTTATTTTGAGTTCGAAGCTTGCGTGATGCTTTCAAGACAATCGGTCAGCCAGAGATTGAATCTGTGTCTTACATGTCCACGCCATTCGCCCAGCCTGCTCAAAGGGACAGCATGCAAAGACAATCTGAAGCGGCTTGTTGCACTCCCCTTGCAAACATTAAACCTTCCAAGTGAGCCAGGCTAAGGTTCAGGACGGGGATTTATGCGGCCCTATAGATCAAAAACATGTGGCATTTCCCTCATCACGCTTAAACCCTTTAGAAGGAACGAGGCTAAGCGTCAGAACGGTGGTTCCGATGAGAAACATGCAACCTAGGAGTCAGCGGAAAGTTGACAGGCAACGGGCCACTACTGTAGCTTAGACTTGAGACTTGTGGAATGGCAGTTGCCGTTGAGAATGCAGACGGCAATGTCTTGCAAGATGATGTGGATGCCGAGCTTCAATTCACATCAGAAGGCTTGGTGCTCAGATGCGGTGTGGCACTATGGTAGAAGCCAGAAAGTTGGAACATTAGTATCCTCATGCCCCTAAAGTAAAGTATACGGGATCCTAGCACAAATCCTCCTAAATCCATGTTCCAACTTTCTGGCTTCTACTCTAGGGAAAGCTAGCGCAAAATACTAGTGAAACACAACTTCTTCGTTGAGGTCTGGTGCTGTGTGGGGGCCACCAGATCACTGTCTATGCGTCGACAGTGCGCATGTCCGAGTGGGTCGTTGGCCAGGCCAGCCCAGCATCTGGAAGCCCGCATTACTTGAAAGATCTAGCCCATTGTGTTAGGCACGAATGCAGGAAGTTCAAGAATGCAGCGCATGTGGCAACTAACACCCCGAACACCAACATTATGGCCTTGCACGATCCAACGCCTGTGTCAGGTCCTGATGCTGTTCAACGTGACTCAGAAAGGCAAGAAACTGGTTGCAAGTTTCCGCAACAACGAAGTTGGGATCACAGACTTCCATCATGCAGTGTGGCCGGGGATTCCTGTATCCCTCTTGAAACCCAAGCACGGGCGGGTCGGACAAGAGCCTCCTCGAGATCAGCCGTTTTGGGCACGGCAGATGACCGTGCCCACTTCCATGCTCATTGCATACATTACATTTGCACTGGGCTCTTCCAAGCGCAATCCATCTGCTCGGTCGCGTTCTGCTGATGGGTTTGCAACGTTCATCGTCATGCTGGCTTCGTGTTTGGGTGGCTTGCGCTTGCCCCATGAACGGTTCGGTGACAATGCCCCAACAAACCTACGTGTGGATGCCAGGGGTGAGGTCGACAGCGTAGAATTCTGGACCTTTGATTTTTTCCGAAGACATGTGCAGGATAAATGGGCCCAAGATCTTGCCAACGCCAAGAAGGAATGGATCACGAGCGAGCCAGTTGTGGGGAGACTTCCGCTAGTACAGGTGCTGGCTTTTTGTCTAGACCCCAGCCACCCGACACGTCTCAAAGATCTTGTCTGGAGCAGAGTGCTTGCCCTCATGAGTCAACTGGCGTATGTGTTGGATGAAGCTGTCCCACGAATTCTGCACTCAGCAGAATCGCTTCCACGAGGCAGCGGTGGAAAGGTAACCTCCAAACGCAGATTGTCAATCGACACAGTAGTTGTGGAGGCAGTTGCCAACAAAGTCTGGTCTGGACAGGACGGTTCGTGAGTTTGTTTGTGGCTGCTCGTTGTAACAATATTGTTGGTTAACTGCCCTGAACTAAGCTGAGCCTGACACCCAGCTTAATCTGCCCACTAAATACCCGACCCTTGTCAGGAGAGAATGCTGTCTACGGCGATTGCGAGCCTTGCGAAGCAAGAGCAGCAGGGACTGCGGCCAGCAACAGTGAGTTTGCCGGCAACGGCTACTTTGATGCACTGTCTTGGCATGTGAAGGTGTGACAGTTTCTTGTCGTTTGCCCACGCAACTGAGTTTGTCTACTTCAGCAGTTTGTGCACGCAGCTTCGAGACTGTCACCAGTTTCATGTTGAAACCTCAGTCGCTCAGTCGTGCTGGCAGTCGAACTAATGGCCACTTGTCGAGTTTATGCATTGCAGGTTTTCATGGACGCCAGCAGCATCTCGAAACGACCGGTCGAGCTTGTCTGGCTCTGGTCGCCGGAGAAGCAGACAGGTGGATGGTGTCCACCCATCGCCAGACTCTCAAAGCTTGCTCTGCCCGGTGTCCGCGCACGTGTGTGTGTGTGTCTGATTCTTGAGCCAGCACACGAGGGACCGTGATACATCAGGCTCAATGTGCTCAGCTTTTAATCCAGTTTCAACAGAACGAAACAATGTAGGCTAGCTGTAGAGGTGTGTCACAGACTACCAGTGGCAGTGCAGGTGGCTTTGAAACTGTTAGTCAGCTCCCGTGCGCCCAGCGGCCATGAAACGGAGAATGCCTACAGACGAGTTGCCGTCGCTGACGGATGGCGAGTCCGACGAAGGGGTGCCAACGCAAACGTCGTTGTCTTCCAGTTCGAACCCAGTTGAGGACACAGCCCCTTGTGATTTCAACCCGGTCCCGTGGCCAGTGACGTGACATGTGTGCTTCCGTGCATCCCTCCAGGATATGGTCGATGAAAGCCCGCTGCAACAGGCGGCACGTTGTGTGCAGCTTGCGTGGGCCAAGCTACAGAAAATTATGTCAATACGACACTTGCAGGCAGGAGCTGTGTTCGATGTGTTTAATTAATGAGCACACATGAATGCCTCAAGGTATTTTTACTGAAGCTTCGCCCCTCCGCGTCAGGCTTCCATGTTGAGGACGGCGAGAAGAACATCTTCTTGCTGTACTGGCGCCTTCACGGCGGAAATGGCTTTGTCCGTTGTTGAGCGCACAGTGAACGAGTGCTCTCGAGAACTGCTTGGGCTTCCCGTTGAATACACCCCGGTCTTTGCACATGCCCCCTGGAAGCAGTCATGCCACAGCAACTACCCGCAATCTCCCAGCTGCCACTATTGTAGCTAAGGAGATAGATGAGCATTGCCGGCAGCTCATCCAGGATCACCATGGCTGGTGTCAGAAAGCAGTTGGGCTACCCCGAAGTGCTCCATGTGTGTTTGGCGACGTTGTTAAAGTGTTTGGCAATGACCTGAGTTTGCCGCCCCTGGATCAAAGCCAGCCTGCAGGCAGTCGATTCCAGGCGGTTGTTCGTGCTGCGAACCATGCCTCTTTGCGAGTCCGTCACCACTGCTACACGCACAACCGAAAGTGCGCCTTGTTTGGTGATCAGGCACCAGTGGCCGATGTGGATATCAGTGGGCTCCCCTGCCCTGACATGTCAAGGGCGGGTTTGCAGAGGTTCCAAGATGGGCGCACGTCCATTGTCTTTGCGGCACACGCCAAGATGCATGCTCAGAAAGGGACCAAGCTGCTGGTAATCGAGAATGTACCAGACACTCTGATGCAGTGAGGGCCAGTGAGAACAGTAGTGCAGTACATGTGCAAGGCTCTTTGTGTTGTAGCGGTGCGCGTGTCGTTCTGCGAGTGCTCGAGGAACTGCGGATGGAGATGATCGAGCGGCTGTACGGCCGCTGCTACACCGTGAAGCGGTTGCTTGTGGACCCGAGTCATCAGGGTCATGCGGGAATGGCTCGGCCAAGGGTGTACTTGGTGCTTGCGCGGAAGGGCAAGGTGAGGGAGCTTCATGACGTCGTAGACATGTACCAGAAGGTCTCAAATTTCATATCTGGATTGGTTGCCACGCAGCCGCAAGACTACCTAGTGGCTTCGCGGGTGGACCGGCTGATGGATGCCACCAGAGTGGCGCTCAAGCGTAACAAACGCCTCTGCGTAGCCTGTCCAAAATAGCGGCACACACGCAACAGCTTAGCTGTCGTTTGAGTTTTACGAGATGATGAGTTTTCATTGTGCAACCCAGCCCGCTTGAATCATTAATTGAATCCGAGGCAGATGCTAAGATGATGAAGTCTTTGCTGAATGAGAGAGAGAAGCAGGCCCTCTCGGTTGCATGCGGCATCTACAAGGACAGGTTTGGCACGGAGGCGAAGGAAGACCCGAATCTTTTCATTCACCTTGGGGATAGCCCACCAAAGTTTTTGTGCTGGAGTGCAGTTTCGGGGAAAATCCCCACCTTTCGATGCAGTTCCGGCTTCCTGTATCACCCTGCTAGTGACGTTTGGCTCACCCCGCGAGAGAAACTCGCAGCACTTGGCTTTCCTGTAACGACAGAAGTTGCTACCTCAATGGGGGTACCAATGGTACCCGTAGCCGATTCCGGGCGGGCATCTAGTGTTGCTGGCAACTCCTTTCATTTCTGCTCAGCAGCAGTTGTGGCCCTCGTGGCATTGTGTTGCCACAAGGACATGGAATCCGATGAGTTGTGACATCCCGCAGCAGCAGACGACAGGTGCGAAAACAAGTCGACTCGGCAGTAGAGTTTTCCCCAGACAATGATGCATTGAAGCTTTGTTTGCTCGCCTTGCGCCTCTGTGCCTCTGCAGTCTGATTCAGTCATGTGAGTTGTGACCCTGAGCTTTGAGTATGTTGCGTGTGCATGCATGACATGGCAG